TTTTTTTAAAAAAAGTCAATTAAATTAAAAAAAAGGAAAGTGCTTCAGTATCGGACAAAACCCCTACCGCCCACCATGAAAGCTGGAACGCCCACCAGTGGGTGGTAGGGACCAGGTTGACTACCACTGGTCTAAAATTAATATAAATTAATTTTCACCTTCCCTTCCCGCCTATCACTATTCGTGGACAGCTGCTGGCTTAATTGCTGTTCCTACCCGCTTCTCCCAACTCTTGTGCTGAGACAGTAAATGCCCAGACAGAAGCAAAGTGAGCAAGATTTTTCAACAGACCTATTTTCACTTTTAAGATGGACTTAAGTGAGTGAGAACATAAACTATTAAACCGTTTTTCAAGTCTGGTTGCTGTCTAGTCTCCTTTAAAAGAAGGGAGGGGGGGAAAGGAGCAGGCGAAGGAGCTGACACACCTGAACAAAAGAGAGCCAACCGTAATTCAAATTTTGTCATTAAAGAGAAAGACAAAAGGTATCTGCTTGCTCAGTTGTTAATACACATGACCTGTCCAAGCATGCACTGCAAACAATATGGGAGAGTGACCATAAGCATACTTCCTGAGAGTCAGAGAGAGCTCTTTCAGTTGCTTTTTCTGTCGTGAAATGGAGCTGGAGATGCTGCCTTGCAGCTTTGTCAGTTCTTCCAGCTTCTGTCTGTATTGCTTGTGAGTTTCCTAAGGAAAACAAGAACAGAGCTTCTTAGGACGGAAACTTGACATTGTTCTACAATGCAGGTTAGTACATGACAGGTGAATAAAATGTTGGAGAGCTTCATCATTAATAACCATCGACCTGGCTTGTCAGGAGGTCGCATAAGGGGATCGCGTGACCCCGGGACACTTCAACCGTCACAAATATGAACAGTTCAGTTGCCAGGCATCTGAATTTTGATCACATAATAACCATGGGGATGCTGCAATGGTCGTGTGAAAAACGGTCATAAGTCACTTTTTTTCAATGATGGTTGTTCTGACCCCCACTCCGTACGGTGAGTCATGCCGACACAAGATTACTGTTAGCCACGCTTTATTCACAGTAATTACTCACAGACAAGACTTTGGCAGTTACCCAGAACCCCCACAGATAAGAGATACACACAAGAGCTTCTCCAGCTTAGTAAAACGGTTGT